GAAAANAAAAAAAAAACAGACCTCGGGTGATAAACACGTCCGCGTCCCCAAACCCAACGCCCGAACAGTTGACAACCACGTCGACCTCGGCGCCCAGCTCGGCGCCCAGCGCCCACGCCTCGTCGGGCCCGCGCACCTCGCGGCGCACCAGCGCGGCGCCGCGGCGGGCCAGCCGGCGCAGCAGAAAGGCCAGGTAGACCATGGGGTTGACGCACCAGGTGCGGTAGCTGCACCCCCAGCGCACGCCGCGCGGCAGCTCCGAGGCGTCCAGCAGGCGGAAGCCCTCGACGCCCAGCTCGCGCGCGCGCGCCTCGGTCAGCAGGTGGTTGCCCTCCCCCTCGAATCGCCCGGGGTCCTCGAGGTACTCGATGCCCGGCATGAAGGTGACGCCGGCCTCGGGGCGGGCGCGGCTCAGCGCGTCCATGTGCGCGTACGTCTCGAGCGCGAAGGCGTGGTCGCGGGCCAGGACGCGGGCGGCGGTGTCGGTGTTGGTGGTGGTGGTGGTAGGCGGTGGGACGACCCAGCGGTTGTGGGCGCCGCCCCAGGGCGAGGCGTAGTTGATGGAGGCGCGCGCGTCGATGGTCTCGGACGGGGTTGGGAAATCGCGCGCCACGACGGTGACGCGGAGCCCGGCGTCCTGCAGGCGGCTAGCGGCGCTGAGGCCGGTGACGCCGGCGCTGGGGAGAGGTTAGAAAGTATGCGCCTTTTGACTTATTTACAGTGCTGGGCGTGTAAGTGACCTGGGGGCTTGGATTGTGTAGGGGGCAATACCCAATGACGACGACGTGTGCCGTCATTTTGGTTGACGTTTGTTCTACAGTGTAAACACCTGTCGTGATAGCCCGAGGCTCGGTATACCTAGTTCAAGAACACCGTCCGGCCAACAATGGTGCTTGACCGGTATTTATGAGCCCATGGATAAGAAACAAAGTTCCGATGACCGGCCTGCGGGAGCCGACAGCGGCTCCTTGGTCCTCGGCGCCGAATCCTGGGCCGAATGTGGGGTTAGAATGCGGATGGAACCAGTTGAGGTGCTGCTATGCAGTCTTGGGTCCCAAAGATTGAGTGAAATTGTTGATGCGGTAAGCTGTCTTATTCGTATTTTTATTCCTATTTTCCTTTTCTTTTTATCTTTAGTTCCGTACCTATTCCTGTCCCTATGCCTAAAAAGGAACTGGCCTTTTTGGTGGTGGGCGTGGCAAGCTATCCTCATTGCTCAGGGGTGTTCGCAAGCTCTAAATGGTAGCGGTAGAGCATCTTTTTGATATTGCTCTTGTCAAGGCGGTGGATGGTCATCCCATAGTGATACACATAAAACTAGGTGATAGATACATGTACAGGCCCACCGACAGCAGCCAAGGATCATGGATATCCATCGTGCTTCTCATTGCACGTCACTGCAACAAAGTCCTCAGCCCAGCGAAATCCAGCCCCGAGCAACAAACCTCCCCTAGACCTCGCCCCGGCAGAGGAATCCCCCGCCGTCACCTCTCAGACCCCTTCCCATCCCCTTCTACCCGTGACGCGCCACCCCTACTCCCGCCCGCGCCACCCTCACCACCACCACCACCGCCGTCAACCCTCGGCCTCCCCGGCGCCGCATGCCCGCCGATCCGCTCCCCCATGGCTAGCTTCTCCTGCTCGCGGCGCAGGTCCTCGCGGTCGCGCTCGGGCAGGCCCCACCACTCGCGGTGGAAGCGCTCCTGCTCGAGCTTGCGGCGGGCCTTTTGCTCGCGCTCGCGCTGGCGCTCCAGGCGGCCCGCGAACCACTCCTCGCGCGCGGCGTCGTGCTCGGCCTCGGTCGCGTGCGCCTTCATGCAGCCGTTCATGGTGCGGTGCGACTCGCGGCACGCGAACGGGACCGAGAAGGTGCGGCCCATTGCGCAGTCGGCGAATGCTGTGCGTGCATTGTCATGTCAGGCCACCTGTTCTGCTGCGTTTCGGGAGGGGGAACAGTGCTGTGTATGATATAACAAGAACCCCCCTCTCCCCGCCATGGAACAAGGCGGAAATAAAAAAAAAAACCCCCAACCTTTTATCTCGGGTTGGCATAGCCTCCTCACCCGCGCATAAAACACCTCGCGCACCGCCGCCTCCTGCGATGCCGACAACGGGATCGGGTTGCGCGATGGCATGGGCAGCTTGGGCGCCGACTCCCCGCCGGCGGATGGTGGCTCGGCCGCCATCGTGGCCATTCGTTGTCGGGGGGGATGTGTGTGTGTGGATAAGGAGAAGGAGGTGGGCGCGCAGGGCGAGCCTGGACGCCGCCCGTCGGGGAAGGTAGGTAGGTAGTAGTTGGTTCTCGTTCCGTCCGAAACAGTTCGTCGCACGTCGTCGCTGGGGCTTTTCGCAGTCGAGGGCGGATCGGGGATGCTCTTTTGGGTCGCTGGAACGTGCGGGGGTTCTCTCGTGAGATGGAGCAGGCCGTTTGAAAAGGCGGATTGGGAGCTCTGGTGGCTTTCACGAGGCGGTTCGTGGTGGGTTCTATGGTCCAACAGGTGCGAATGCCGTTGCTCAGATGTTCTTCTGTTCTTCAGCAAATTCAAGCTCAACCATGGAAACACACCACTCTGAGCCGATGAGCTTCGGTGCTGATGGCAAAATGTGGAGATGGCTGCCCGCTAAGCTGCTGACAGCCTGCCGAATTCCAAGGGTTGGGGTTATCTACCCCTGAATCCAGCCCCAAGACCACGACATGAGCCTTGAGCTGCAAACACAACAAGTCGATTTCATATCAACTAACTCGGAATTATTGTGATTTCCTCTATACTTGGGGCTCTACAGTGCTGTGCCTCCCAAAAGCTGGCCGTGCCCTCCAAAATTTTGTTTCAACGCCCTACCCTCCCCTACGACAAGCCGCTCTTGTTCATGTGCTCGATCCTCAGGCTGACCGCTCTCCTGTGCGCCTCGAGCTCCTCGACCCTGGCCAGCTCCATGACCGCGTCCCCAACGTTGCGCAGGCCCTCGGCCGTCAGGTTTGAGCTGGTGATGTGCTTGACGAAGGACCCGAGGTTGACGCCCGAGTACTGCTTGGCGTAACCATATGTGGCTGTGATGGATAACGAGGTCACACGTTAGCAGGGACTAATACAGACTGAGACGTATGGGCAAAAGAGAACTCACGCAGAGAGTGGTTGACGCCGGCCGAGTAGTCGCCCACGCTCTCGGGCGTCCACTGCCCGATAAAGACGCTGCCGGCGTTCATGACCTTGTCCACGACGGCCTCGGCGTCGCGCACCTGCAGGATCAGGTGCTCGGGCGCGTAGTCGTTGCTGATGGCCATGGCCTCGTCGATGGTGCGCACCGAGATGGTCAGCGAGTGCTTGATGCTGCCGCGCACAATGTCGACGCGCGGCAGCGCCGTCGCCTGCCGGTGCACCTCGTCCTCGATGCGGCGCAGGCTGGCCTCGTCGAGCCCCACGGCGACCAGCACCACCTGGCTGTCGACGCCGTGCTCGGCCTGCGACAACAGGTCCGACGCCACAAAGGCCGGCTCGGCGGCCGAGTCGGCCACGACCAGGACCTCGGACGGCCCCGCGGGCATGTCGATGCCGACGCCGGCGTTGGTGTCGTTGCTGACCAGCATCTTGGCCGCCGTGACGAACTGGTTGCCGGGCCCCAGGATCTTGTCCACCTTTGCCACGCTCTCGGTGCCGTACGCCATGGCCGCGATCGCCTGCGCCCCGCCCGCGAGTACGATGCTCTCGGCGCCCACCTTGTGCGCCACGTAGACGATCTCGGGCGTCACGGTGCCGTCGGCCCGCGGCGGCGACGCGAGCACGATGCGCCCGCACCCGGCCACCATGGCCGGCACCCCCAACATCAGCGCCGTGCTAGGCAGGACCGCCGTGCCGCCAGGCACGTAGAGCCCGACGCGCTCGATGGGGCGCGAGAAGCGGCTGCACACCACGCCCGGCATCGTCTCGACCCGCAGCGGCTTCTCCTCCTTTTGCGCCGCGTGGAAGCGCCGAATGTTCTCGAAGGACACGTCGATGGCCCGCGCCGTCTCCGGGGCCAGCCGCATGAGCGACTCCGGGAACGGCGCGCGCAGCACCGGGGACGTCAGCGACGTGGCCTTTTCGAACCTGTGCGTGTACGCCAGCAGCGCCTTGTCGCCGTTGGCGCGCACGTCCTCGACGATGGGGCCGATGATCTTCATGATGGCGTCCGACGACTTCTGCGACGGCCGCTTGAGCGCCTCCCGAATCTCTGCCGCCGAGTTGACGCTGGCGTCGTAGCGCCTCATGGCTATCCTCTCCCCGTCCGCGGCTGCGGCAGGAGCTTCTACAGCGGCCGGCGCCGCACCCCCGGCGGCTTTGACGCCCTCCTTCTCGGCCCACTTACCCTTGGCGTCCCCAGTGCGACGCTTGACCTTCCAGCTCTTCGCGTCCAGGTTCCTCTCAATGTCAGCCAGCGACACGCCCGACGCCACCGCCTTGGTCAGGGCAAAGTATATCAGGTCAGCGGCCTCAAAGGCGACGTCCGAAGGGGTCTTTGCGTCGCACAGCTCCTCGGCCTCCTCCATGATCTTGGCCCGGAGGAGCTTCTCGTCCGAGAACAGGCGGGCCGTGTAGGAGCCCTGGGGCGCCGACTCCCTGCGGGCCCGCAGCGTGCGCTCGAGCTTGGCGACGCCGCCCGTCTCGCCGAAGCAGCCGGCCTGGTCAAGGTGGCAGAATCGCCCTTTTTGGCGGACGACAAACTTGAGCGTGTCGCTGTCGCAGTCGAGCGAGATACGCACCAGCTGCTGCGTGTCGCCCGACGTGGCGCCCTTGTACCAGAGCCCGCGCTTGCGGCTCTGGTAGACGCCCGTGCGCGTGCGCAGCGCCTCGCCCACGCTCTCTTCGCTGCTGTAGACCAGCCCCAGCGCCACGCCGCCCTCGTCCGTCACCACCGTCGGCACCAGCCCGTCGGCGCGGTCCGAGGCCCAGCCCGCCGCCAGGAGCCCCGACACGGCCAGCTTCCCGGCCGGCGCGTCCTTGGCCGACGCGGCCAGGCTCGAGGACGGCAGAACGGGGACGGCGGGGATCTGGCGGGCGAGCTCGACGAACCGGGCCAGGTCCGCGCCGGGGGCCGGCTTGACAAAGAGGCGCGGGATCTTGCGCGACTTGAGTTGCTCGACGACGGCGGCGGGGTCGGAGCCGTCCGTCTCGATGCCCGACACCAACAGCCCGCCCTCGGTGGCCGGCAGCCCCTGGGCCGAGGCGGCGACGGCCTGCGCGACCCTGGAGCCGTGCTCGCTCAGGTCGTCAAACTGCTCGGGCCGCACAAAGACCTTGCGGGCGCCGCCGTCGAGCAGCGCCAGTATCTCGTCCCGGGACTCGAGCCGCGTCACGTCGACGTAGGGCTCGAACGCGAGGCCGTCCCCCTGGCCGAGAAAGGCCCGGACGTCGGCCAGGTTCTGCGCCGTCGCCTCGAGGAAGACGGCGCCCAGGCACGCGAGCTGCTCGCGGGACAGGCCATCCTGCTCGGCACCGGGTCCCAGCGGCACGGCGACGCTGGCCAGGAAGGGCAGCGGTAGGGTCGTCTCCATCGCGAATCGCGAGGCTTGTGGCGTGACTCAGTCTAGGGTCGAGGTTTCTCTCTGGCTACGGCGGCTGAAGCTGTTTTGCGCAGGGGTTTTTGTGAGTCCAAGGGGGGCCTGTTCCAGTTACTGCCGAAAGCCTGCCGCCAATGCGCTGGAAACTATCACAATCTGTTTAGTTCAGTCTTCAATGGTGCTCGCTAGGAATCAGTCATGAAAAAAAAACGCGTCACCTAAACGATGCGTCTCGGGGCTCCTGCATCGGCGCCCCCTTCGCCTGTCGTCATGCTGCGAACAAATCATGGAGGGGCAATTGGCCCAAAAATCCGCCCCGCATAGACCCATCGGCGAGCAGGGGTGGTGGTGTGGCTGCATGCTCACTGAGGGGATCTAGCTATTGGTCCGTGCCCTCAACTGTCATGTTGGTTCGCGCCTCAGCTGATTCAACGAACCCCTGAGACGCACGATATAAAGCTTGAAGATATATCACGATGGATATATCAAAGTCCAGTAATGGCACTCATTGCTCTCGCTCGCTTGCCCTTGGCGTATCACAAACCACCGCCCACAGATGGCACAAAAGCAGGGACTCCAGAAACAGGCGTCTTGAACCAACCGCCGCCTTCGTCCCACATACGCCACTCCCTCTCTCGGTCTAGTCTCTCCGAATCTCCCACTGCTTGTGCACCTCAATGGCCAGGCCAGTGTTCCTGCGGTTCGAGGCCTCCTTGGTGTGATACTGCGTGGCGTCGCTGGTCAGGTTTCGCTCGCTCTCACCCCCGGAGCCCGCGACGCTGTGGTTAGACCCGGCCTCGATAGCCGACTCGCTCACGCCGCCGACCCCGTACTCGTCCTTGGGTGCGCTGTCGTAAAAGGTGGTCAGGGTGATGTCGGCGGCGGGCCCGACCCTGTTGCGGGAGTTCTTGCCCGACGGGCCCTTGCCGCCGCCGCCGCCGCCGCCGCCGTACGTCTGCAGGTCGCTCCGCTGGGCCTGGTCGCTCAGCTTGGACGCCGAGTGCTTGGCCCGGTACCGCGTGTATAGCGGCCGCAGCATCGGGATGCTGACGCAGATGATGCCCAGGCTGAGCTCGATATTGGTCGTGAAGAGGGACAGGGGTATGTCCCTCGTAATGTTTGCGGCCAGGTCGACTTTCGACACGTAGTAGTAGCGGATGCACCCGACGATGACGACCCTGTGATTTTTTTTGAGAGGCTCCGTCAGTCTCGTCCCACGCCCATGCATCGCCTAGCAACTATTTCAAGCTTACCCAAACAACAAGAGAAAGGACATCATGAGACCAAGCTTTTCCGTCGTTCTCATGTTCAGCCCCCATATCGTCTCTGCCATCGCGTGGATTTCCGAGTTAGCCCAAATCTTCATAGGACTATGTCAGGGGACGGCGTTGAAGGGGGAGGAAACATACTCATTGGCATCATCATGATGATGATATCAGTCAAGAGGCTGGAGATGACAATAGTTTTGTAGAGGGGGAGGGCGTCCCCGCATTTGGCAACTGCGGCTAGTCTAAGGTCCCACTGCGCGCTGATGGGCGTGCACATGAAGACATTGGTCATCAAGATAGCTACGGCCCAAACAACGACGAAGCCCATGACGGCCCAGCACCACAGGCGCATCTTCCGATCAAAGATGCGCAGGTAGAAGAAGAGCATGCTGAGCTTGCTCGCGGCCAGGCTCGTGATTGAGACGAAGACCAGGAGGAAAACAATCTGGGAGCGTTTTTTGTCAGCTTTGCGCAAGCAGGGGGCAGCACACATACACAAAGGAGTGGATGCTCACTAGCAGCATGTGCGGAAGGTTTCCCGTGGGCACGACTTCGGCCATGGGGTGGCCTGCCCCCGTGGTGAACACTGTTGAAATTGCACGTCTTGGTCAGTTGCCGGGCGCAGTTGTCCTCGGGGTCGCTTACAAGGACACAAACATACGAACAAAACCAAGCACGTTTGCTGCTATGGCTAAGATCTAGAGCCGACAAACAGGTCCCCAATAGTCAGTCAAAACACGGCCTCCCGCTCACAATCGGGTGGGATATAGGGATATAGGGATATAGGCTGGGCGTACCAGTGCCACAAGGATAAGCCAGTCGTCCGTGCCCAAGCCGGCGGAAAAGAAAATACGGCACATAAAGCGGCCGGCGACCGTCGCTGCAGCGAAGAACAAGGCGATGACGTTGCCGATGAGGAAGCCCGTCACCTGGTTTGTCATGGGAATCGGCTTGGGGTGGTCCGTCACCGGGAGTAGTGAGGGATCCATCTTGGCGTTTGTCGCAACGGCCGGCACCGTGGGCGAGATGTCGGGGGGCTATCCAGACTTATCCAGGCGGGCGCTTGGGGCGTTGCTATCCTCGCGCGCGGCTGCTGGTGCTAGTGCTAGTGCGTCGGTGCCGCCTTCGCCATCGTCTTGTATATGCGGTACGGATGAGGGTAACGGGGACGAGGTCCAGCTCAAAAGGAGAGGCAGGACCCCTGGATCCGATCCGATGAACGCCAGTCCCTGTCTGCCAGACGAAGCCCGCTGCTCCACCGGAGGGAGGTCCTTGGCCCCCCTGCTCCGCCGTCCTCATTTGTGCAGGACGCCAGATTGTGCGAGACGTCAGCCGACTCGCTCCCCTGGGCTCACATGGGCTCCCCGGCCTCCCTAGCCCATCGCGAAACGCTATTTTCTGCAGGCGGGGGCGCTAATGGCGGATGTTAGCCGCCGTCTGCGCCGATGGCTGGTAGGCTTGCTGGGGGAAAGCCGTACTCATCTCCTGATACGGGCATTGGCTGTGGCTGAAGCACATCAGTATCAGCGACGCGCCCGGCTGCAACGGTTGTGGGAGCCCGGCCGATGTGCCGTTAGGCTTTAGACACGCAAGTAGGGCAGGTCGACACGTACAGTAGCTCGCCTTAGCTTGCGTGTGCGACTGACTCGGCTCCAGAGCGGGCTTACTTAGGTGGGTAAGGTACAATACGACCTTGGCATCCGGCTGCCAAGCCCTTCCCGGCCGGGAGACAGGGGAGCCTGAGAGTACGTTGTGGGCCTAACAAGGGGGATCTGTCAGGATATTAGCAAGGGGGGTAAGGGTACATATCTCAACGCACAATTTGTATAGGAATCAATGTATTGTAACTAACAGCTTGGGACGATTCTAGTAGGTTCTGGCAGATCGAGGCGCGGGTAGCGGTGCATTAATTTGGCGGGATCTTCTATGGCAAAAAATGTAGACTGGGAGTGGCCTAATTAGGAAGGATCTGCGGGTCGTAACGTTTAGTATCTTACTCACCTGTACAGGTATCCTATTGGAGGCAATATGCACATGTTTCGAATCCCCCTTTTCTTGAGACGGAAGAACCTCGACTCCCTCGCCTCGCTAGCTTGTGAGTGGGCTTTGCCTGCGTTGCACCGCACCAGCCACAGGCGGCCCTCCCGCAGGTGAGATGCCCTGAGTGCCAATGAATCCACTTTGCTGCATGTGCCCCCCAAGTCAGTACCAGGCCGTCGACAGGGCGGCCCAAGGCTGCGGCCCCCTCACTCTCCTTCCCCCTCCTGTTCCTGCCACTCCTCCCCTTTTCTTCCCTGCTCCCTCTCCCTCAGCCGCGCCCTGACCTCCATCAGCGCCACGCCCAGCCTGTTCTCGCCCCAGTGCTTGCGCCGGTGGGGCGCCGTCTTAGCGGTGTACCCGATGCCCCAGACGCGGTCCCGGGACGCGGCCTCGACGAGGAGCCGGTCGCCCGTGGCCAGCAGCGCGCGGCCCAGGGGCGCGTTCTGCCCGAACTTTGCCATGTTGCCCGCCACCACGACCGCGCTCTTGACCTCGTCCCAGCCGCCGTCGTCGAAGCCGTCCACGGCCCGCCCGAGCCGCTTCTGCTCCTTGGGGCTGTCGGTCGCCATGACGAGCCGCTGCGTCTCGCGGTCGCCGAATCGTGCCGCCTTGCAGTACATCATGAACTGCTCGGCGCAGCGAAAGGTCAGGTAGTCCGGACCAGCGGCGGCGGCGGCGGCACCAGATTCGGGGTCACCAGATTCGGGGTCACCAGATTCGGGGTCCGCGACCTGGTCGTCATGCACGTCTTCCAGGTCCCGGCCGATCACAGCCTTGATCTCGTCTGCGGTGACGGTGAACTTGGATCGATACCACTGAGAGAACTCGCCGTACCTTTCGTTTGGCGTGAAAAAGTATAGCGGCCTGGTTGGGGACTGTGAGCGTTCTCTCAGCTGCGAGCCACTGGCGGAGGACCCGCCTTTTCCTTTGTGCTTGCTCTTCTTGACTTTCGTGGCCTTGGCCTCTCGATAGGGAATCATTTTCTTTTGAGGTATTGTAAGAGCTATAGGCAAAGTAAGGCGCAAAGTGTGGTTTGCTACGCAGGCTGGGGCAGTAATGCCTTGTAGAACTGATCAACAACTGATTCGGGAAGGTCTGGGATGGATACAAAGATGAATGATATATGCGCATGTCCCTCCAGAAGCGGCTGTAAATGTGCCAATACCGATGCCTTATAATGAGTCACGCCGCCGTCTATCACGGGCGGCTTGGACAGTGTCAAATCTGCCAGGTTTCGGCATGATCTAATCCAGAGCTTAAATGTTGAGCTTGGCTGCCTGGCGCTGTGGTCGTGTTTGAACAAGCACGATGATGAAAGACGTGGGAATCGCTATCTCCACATGTACACGACAATGGAATCACCAGGGGATGTGGGGAGGTTCCTAGGTTATGGAAGAAGAAAGCCTGAACAGAATCTAATGACAGTTGGAGGAGGACGGGATGGTGCAGGTCTACCCCTCACGGACAATGCAGGTGCGATTTAAGCTGTGGTCCGTGCATAAACGCACTCCATCGGCTCTGAGCCGCCAATGACGGGAATCCAAACTAGATTTGGATGGAATGCAGAAATTCATGCTTGAGCCGACAAGCTGCAATCCCTGGCCGCCAAAACCACAGCCGGCCACGCCTCCATCTCGACCGATCGACCCATCCCGCCATCCGAGCCGCTCCTTGCGAACCGGACACTGCAACATCGCTCCACCAAGACGGAGCTCTCTACCACTGCCTGGCCCTGGCGTTTGACATCTAATCGCGGCGCGCGCAGCCACAACGCCCGCCTCGCGTCGCGCAAACGACGCCCAATCCGCCGACTCGCACTTCCTCGATCCACCCCCGCCCAATCCGCCCCCCGGCGAGGCGACACGCAGTAATAGTAATACCGCCGCCGGCGCCCGCAGGCAAACAGTACCAATGTCGACCTCAATGGCGCCGCAGGCCAACGGGGTGGCCCCGGCGGCCAGCCAGCCCGCCGCCTCGACCCAGTCGACCGTCACCGTGCCGAGCAGCCAGACCCAGACGCAGCCGTCGACACAGCAGCAGCCGTCACAGCCCTCACAAGCAGCAGCAGCAGCAGCAGCAGCGGCGCCGGCCGCCGCCCAACCACAACAACAACAGCCGCACCCCAACGGCGGGGGGAACAACAACAGCAATAACAACAACCAGCAAGCCCCCCGGCCTAGGGACGCGCGCACCCTCGAGCTCCTCCTGACGGCCCAGGGCGTCACGGCCTTTGAGCCGCGCGTGCCGCTGCTGCTCCTCGACTTCGCCTACCGCCACACCGCCGCCGTGCTCTCCGACGCCCTGCACCTGTCGGGCGACCCCTACACCACCCACGCCGGCGCCAAGCCCAGCGCGTCCCAGGGCGCGTCCGCCACGGCCCCTCCCGGCGGCGACGCCTCCGTCTCGGCCGGCGCCGTCCAGGTCGCCATCGCCAGCCGCCTGGCCTTCCAGTTCCGGGGTGGTGCCGGCGGCGTCGCCGTCAGCAGCGGCACCACCACCAATGCTACCGCGTCGGCGGGCGCGGGCGCGGCAGCAACAGGAGGCGGTGGAGGCGGCGGCGGCGGCGGCGGCGGCGGCGCGAGCAAGGAGTTCCTGCTCGAGACGGCGCGCGAGCGCAACCGCTCCGCCCTGCCCCGCATCCTGCCCTCCGAGTGGGGCGTGCGCCTGCCGTCGGAGCGCTTCGTGCTCTCGGGCTCCGCCTGGGGCCTCACCGACACGTGGGGCCCCGGCGAGGCCGGCATCGACGATGACGATGACGATGACGACGATGACGAGGACATGGAAGACGCCATGGAGGGTGTCGAGGGCGGCGGTGGTGGCACGGGGGCGGCCGCACAGGGAGGCAACGGGCCGGACGAGGAGGTTGGCGGGGAGCCGGTCGAGGGCGGGACCATCGACGACGTGTTTGGCGACGACGTCGACGAAGAGATGGCCGAGGAGTGAAAGGGGCCTTGGGAGGAGGGACGTTCCAGCTTGTAAAGGTATTACGAGCTGCGCCCGCATCGCAGGCGCCCCTGACGACTGGGATTGGTCGCGTATTCGACAGCACCCACCCGCGCTCGACGTTCAAATCCAAAGCGACAAACGAGAGGATCTATAGGCGGGCAAATGGGGCTCAGGCGCAGTGATGGCTACCTGGCTACCTGGTCGCATATCCGTCGGTTTTTTATAGTGATCAAAGGCAGAGCCCACATACCCAAGACCCCGTTCTTCGTTGATAGAACGCGGAAATACTTTTTATCAAGCCACCGCATGTGCCCTTCACACAAAGTTTTCTTTATCCCACCTGCTATTTGGTTTCCATCCTCGTGTCCACACCCGCTCGCCCAGGCTTGCGCACCCCAGAGCTCGCGGCCTGTACCTATGCGTAGATCATCACCCATCATTTTACGGCTCAAGATTCACCATTGTCAAACAGTTTTTGTTGTCTTGCCTTGTCGAGCATCCAAAGTAGAGCATCAAATACCGGCATGTTTCTTTCCAGGTCCAAACAGCACCTCCTGGGTCGTGCCTGTTGGGACGAAACCTGTGTCCAAGGCCGCAACTTTGAGGAGTTGTCGCCCGATTCCCAACTGCTCCTCAACACAGAAATCAAGTTGATATCCATGGGCTCGCCTTGCACAAAGATGCAGCACCTCAAATTAGTCATCTTACATGTATTAGTAGAAATCTATTTACAGATGACCATGGTAACCAAACCAAAAACTCCTTTGCTATGCAATGGGATGGTGAAAACCATCCCGAAAAACAGATGATGAAGCCAGGTGTGCGGGAGGGCAACAGAGGGGATGCGATAACAATAAAACCCGCCGACTCCCTTGTGCTCAGCGCGTTGAAAGCGCCTCCCTTTTTCTTTCGTCCTCGGTTGAGCTCGTAAAGAGTCCTGATCCGCATCCTGGGAACTCGGCCCACGGAAGAGCAGGAACAGGACAACATACAGAAGGGGAAACAGAAGGATGACATGTCATGGCAAACGTTGACGGGGTGAATCGAGGAAGAGACGAGCAAGAGAAAGCAAATGCTTGCTCTCTCGTCGACAGCTGACCAGGGGACCAGCCAGCACAGGGTCATCATGGCTTGGCATCCTTAGCCACCTGGAGGTCCTTGATACCAGTGATCATCTCGGCGTCAGTGTCGTGCTCCATAGCAGGGGCCGGCATTGTCTGGGCATCATTTGTCGGGACGGCGCCGTCGTCTCCGACGGTGATGTCTCCCTCCTCCTCGTCGCCCTCATCCTCCGGCTCGGCCCCTTCCTCCTCATCGTCGGCGTCCTCGTCGTCGTAGTAGATGCTCTCCTCCATCTCGGCGTACTCGCCCGAGCCTCTCGAGATGTAGCTGTCGCCGAGAGCCTCGTAGACGTCTTCGTCCTCGTCCTCGGCATACTGGCTTCCCTCATCATCCCCTTCGTTCTCGCCAGCCCTGGCGTCCGAATCGCTGGCCGAGAACTCGTCGAGGTCGAGAGGAGTGTCGCGCCAAAAGGTGAAGTCGGTGAACTCCTCGCCGCCGCCAGTCACCAGTGTGCTGACGGGCGGAAAGTAGTGCTCCACGATCTCCGACATGCTTAGGTAGCTGAGCTTGAGCTTATTGAGACTCAACAGGTCCAGCGAGACTTCAGCATTGGAGTTGATGGTGAAGATGCGCGTGCGCGGCACGTCGACGGTGCGGTACGAGATCTGGTCTGTCAGACGATTGCCAAAGCCGGCGTAGAAGGCATGGTGGTCCGCGCCGTAGAGGCTGCGGATGTCGCGCAACGTGGCCATCTTGAAGATGTGCGGCTTGCGTAGGTACACCTCGCGGCGAAGCGCAGCTAGGGTGCGGTCCGGCGACAGGATCGTGGGACCGCGCGGGAGCTTCAGACCGTCCTGGACGATGCCGTGGAGGTATGCCCGCGTCGTGTCGGCCTGGCCAACCGACCGACTCGTCAGGTACATGATGTTGTAGCCGTTGTTGGCGATGTCGTTGTATAGTTTCGCAACACCCGCGTGCGTCCAGTCGCGGCCGATCATGTTGAGCACATGACCCAGCGCGTCCGATTTGGTGATGGTGCCGTCGATGTCCGAGATGACAACGGGTGTTTCGTGCTTCCATAGATACATGTTGGCCGAGCATGTCGCGCGGTTGACCGTGAAGCTCAGAGAGTTCTCACCCGGCTTGAGGTTCATGGCCTTGAGTTGGTCGCTGGTCAGGCGCAGAGTCTTGGCGTAGTTCCGGTTAGGGTCGCCGATGCTGGTGGAGCCCGGCGACGACGGCGGGGTTTGCAGTGCTAGCTGACCGACGTCGGACTCGGTTCTCCTGTGCAAAGGGATCTGGGATGCGGTGCCAGAGCTGTCGTCACTCTGGTAGCCCGGGTCGGACACGGCGTCGAGAGACATGTTGGGGTGGGTGTGGCGGTACGTTGCCTCCATGGTCTTCTTCATGGCGGTATCCTTGGCCTCCTCGCTACCGTAGATCCATAGGTTGCCCTGCTCGTCCATGCCGATCAGCGCGCCGACGTCATAGTTGCCAGCGAGCTCTTGAGAGAGAACCTTGCGCGCGAGAATCTCTGCGCGGAAGGCCTCGTCCTCGTTTGCGCCGCTCATTTCGAGCATCAAATCTCCCGTCTCGGTGACCTGGGTGCGGATGTTGACGGCGGATAGCTCCCGCGACAGCGCAAGAGCCCGCTCGAGAGACTCTCTAGGGCCGAGCGGCGGTGGGCTCTGGGACCGGTCCGAGAGTTCTGCCGGGCTGGCGGGCTCGAGGGAAATGTCGTCGACATCCAAGTTGGAGGACTGCCTGCGCGTGCGCTGGCCCAAGACGGTATCGCTATGGTGTCTTTGGTCGTAGTTGGACCAGTCTCCGGACTGGAGGCGCTTGGTGGATAGTTGAGGGGACGTCGAAAGCGGCGTCAACATGCCTGGAAGGCGCATCGTGTTAGTTAGCAGCCTCACACCACAACAGGCCCGAGATCATAGCCCCTGAAGAGTATAGGGGTTGTGAAGTGTGCCTACCATTTTCGCGTGCGGTCGCGCCGGGGGGAAGGACGGTGGGCAGTGGCCTAACTAGGCTTGCCGCGCGAGGCTTGGCCGTGGACTCGGCGTCTAGCTCAAAGGCCTCGGGGTCTTGGAGGGCGGATTGCTGGGGGTTGAAGGAGGGACTCGAGGCGGGCGAGGCGATGGGGGAGGTCTGCATGCTCTTGGGGATATTGTCGGTGGTCTCGAAGACGAAGAAGGCCTCGCCGCCCTCGCCGAGCTTCATCGAGTAGTCCTGCTTGACGCCATTGACCTGGAACTCGACCTTCTTCTCGTAGGGCCGCAGCAGCGAGAACTTGCCGAAGCGCACGTGGAAGGGCGAGCACAGCAGGGTTCCGTCCTCCTGCTCGACGACGATGACATCGATGGCGCCGCTGAGAGTCGCGGGGTTGATCGAGTTCCACGCCGTCGACACGGAGTCGCTTAGATTCCTGACGTACTGCATGTTTGTCGCTATGGGCAGTCGGTCGCTGTTGGGGCGCTTCTCCAGACACTGCCAGCCCCCTCTACTGGGGCGGGTTGACGTTTAAGTGCTGCGCCTGGAATTGGGGCTAGGACTGGTTGGGACAGCGAGGTAAGGCAAGTGGAGCTGTGAGAAGTCGTCGTGTGTTTCGACTGGAACAAATCGGGACCCAAGTCCTGCGGGCGACCAGGAGAGAAAAGATGAAGAGCGAAAACAAACAATATTGGGCAGGGGTATTCCAGGTAATATGGACGAGGATGGGTGGTGGGCTCAATGGAGAGACAATCAAGAGGCAACGACGGGCTAAGCCGTGCCTGCCTTGTCGGTCGGTGCTCTCGCACTTTGCTCGAGACCTGGTGGAGACACGAGGTGCGGGAGCTGACGCCTGTGCCTTGGCCCTAGCCTGTTCACATGCACGCCTCAATGCTCGTGCAAAGCCCACTCGATGCGCCGCCAATGGGCCGATGGCAATTTTTCTTCTTCTTTTTATGCTGCTTGTTCGCAATGCGCTCCACAATCCACCTAACATACGCCTAGCTCGTCGCACGTACGTAGCCTTATTCCTCTGGACGCCTCGCTGCTCTCGATAGGCATCTTGTCCAACACGTCGTTCCATTCATCGCCGTCGTCGCCTCGCCTCTACGCCCGATCTGCAGGCTGCCGGGTTGGGCCCTTAGACTGCCCGCTGTGCCTGTCGAGATCTCAATGTCTCGTCGTCCTCATCAACGGAAATGCGATGGGGCTCCAAGAATGCTGGGCCGGGCTCAACAAACATGGATGGCCGCCGCATCCTCCAACGCCTTTCCCTCGTCGCAGCACTAGCGGCCCAATCGCCACCCCTGTCTGCCTCTCTGTCTGCCTCCTGCCGCGGCGCTCCAATTGTGTGATCCCACCCCACACAACCGCTCTTTTCCGCCACAAGTACCCCCCATCAAGAACTCGGCTGCCAGCCTATTGTCCTTTCGGGTTCAGCCCTGGGCTGCATTGCAGCTGAATTGGCTCCAGCTGCCACCGTTTGGTGCTCCCCCGCGGTCCAGCGCTGCTTCGATTCCTGCCCAGGATGCCAGGAGAGCCGTGGCGGGTTCAGTCGGTCTTCCGCTTTCGTGGCCAAACCCTTTTTGACCCTGGACGCTTTCACGAGGGCAGCAGACAGGGGCAAAACGGCCGAGAGTTGACGCCCCTGCGCGTAATGGACCAGCTGCCAGAGCCCACGGCCTTGACCAGCGAACCACGCACCCCAGTTGCGGTGTCACGACCCATCAAGATGGGCCCTCGTGATCCGACCGCAAAGGGGGCCTCGGCACTCTGCCGCCTGGGCTCGTCTATCTTTTTCCTCCAAAACTGATGTCATGCACCGACTGACCTGGGAATCAAACCACCCCCACTTCCAATCTCGCGCCCTTTTTTGTCGGCTCCCCGTCGTCTCCATTTTTGTGAGCCGAATTGCGAATCCCAGTTCCAGAAGCCGTTCGGTGAACGAGATGTGGAAAAAACACCGGCGGTTGGACTAATGTTGCCCCCTAGCGTCGGGTCGACCGCTCCCTGCCGACTGACGCAAGGGGGTTCGGTTGTTGGTCTGGAAGCCAGCCCAAGACACGGACGGCGACTACTGCAGACGAGGAGGTGGCCTGAAATTGCCCGACAGGGAGGCTGATGCAATGTCCGAATAACTACTGTATAATGGAAAAGGGGACCCAAAGGCAGAGCTTGGTCAAAATGCCTCGTATGACGCCCCAAATCACCTGTACCGCGAGAGTGGCTTTGGGGCTGATCATGTGTCGAGCCGCTGATGCATTGGGAATAGAAGCAGCTTTTATGCAAAGTGCCGTTCCACAGCTTGCCGAAAAAAGTAGCCCCGACATCATGGTAAGTTGAGGCTAATTTTGTCTCCACGTTGTCATGGCCAGAAACGGACCAACCCATTCCAGATATGCAGACGAAGCAAAGTCGTGCCGGTTTGCTCACCACCTGCCTCCAACTGGTTGAACTGCCGGGCGGTGAAAAAAGGTTGTGCTGTGTGTGATTCACACACCCCGCAATTGGCAAAGTTGCCAGCCGTCCCGCATTTTTGCGTTGCGACATCGCAGAGAGGGATCCAAGGGTTTGCCCAGGGCAAGAAATTTGGCAGAAGGAATGCAAGTTGAGACGACTGCTCGGCCAGGACTCAATTGCATCTGCCAACAATAACCAGAACACCAAGTAGAGAGAAGCACAGGCCAAGACGGAAAACATGGCGACCGTCCTGCATCTGCGTTCCGAGACCAAGCCGCTTGAGCACCGGTCTGCTCTGACGCCGACTGTAAGACCAGGCCCCTGCGCAAGGCTGCCTCCCGTGTGTGACTGCGTGCTGAACCAGCCTATACGGCCATAGACGACCAAGGCCCTCATCGAGGCCGGCTACACTGTCAATGTCGAACGAAGCCCCGTCCGCATCTTTGACGATGCCGAGTTCGAGGCCGTCGGTGCGACCCTGGTTCCCGAGGGGAGCTGGGAGCAAGTCCCCAAGGACCACATCATCATCGGTCTGAAGGAGCTGGAGGAAAAGGACTGTGAGTCTTGAGTGTTCCCCGTAGTCGACACCTAGCCAGGCATGCAACGCAGTGCAGCACAGCACTATGTGCGGGCCTCCCACCCCTGGCCACTTGCGCTAACCAGCCCGACCAGTCCCTCTCAAGCACACCCATGTCCAGTTTGCGCACTGCTACAAGAACCAGGGCGGCTGGGACAATGTTCTGCGGAGGTATCACGACGGCAACGGCATGCTCCTCGACATCGAGTTCCTGGAGAAGGACGGTCGTCGCGTGGCCGCCTTTGGCTTCTGGGCTGGTTTCGCTGGTGCCGCCTTGGCCCTGAAGAACTGGGCCTGGCAGCTGGCCCACCCTGACGGCGCCTCTCTTCCAGGTGTCGAGAGCCACCCCAACGAGGCGTCGCTGGTGCGCGAGGTCAAGGAGTCCCTCGCCGAGGGCACCTCCAAGGCCGGCCGCGCGCCCCGCGTCATCGTCATCGGCGCCCTGGGCCGCTGCGGTCACGGCGCTGTCGACCTGTGCCTCAAGGCCGGCCTGCCCGAGGAGAACATCCTCAAGTGGGATCTGGCCGAGACGGCGCCCGGTGGGCCGTTCAAGGAGGTGGTCGAGAGCGACATCTTTGTCAATTGCATCTACCTCAACAAGCAGATCCCGCCCTTTGTCACCGTCGAGACCCTCAACTCGCCCGACCGCAAGCTAAGCGTCATCAACGACTGCTCCGCCGACACGACCAACCCTTTCAACCCCGTGCCGGTCTACACGGTCGCCACCACCTTCGACAAGCCCACCGTCCTGGTCGATGGCCTCAAGTCGGGCCCACCCCTCAGCGTCATTAGCATCGACCACCTCCCCAGCCTGCTGCCCAGGGAGGCGTCTGAGTCTTTCAGCAACGACCTGCTGCCATACCTCCTGACCCTCAAGGATCGCAAGAGCGACCCGGTGTGGGCCGGCGCCGAGAAGCTGTTCAACGAGAAAGTCAAGGCGCTCCCCTGAGAGGGCGCTGGGTCTTGGCCGTTGTTGCCTTTTAGCGGTTCTTTGGCTACAACTATCGATCTGGCTTTGTTCATGGATAGAAAAGTTGGGCTTGGCGTTGGGTCTGGAATGTTTGGGATATCCGTGCTACGCGCGATGGATAAAAACCAAAGAACCTGCTTTAGACAACAGAGATTCCTGTGATGAAACCCGAGAAAAATCACCTGGGACGACTTAGGTATGGTTATTCGTAAGCTTAAACTGCAGAACATAGGGATCGGGCAAACATCGGCTTTGCTACCGAGCCGGGCAGATTTGATCCCCACACGGGGCCCCCAGGTTTCCCCAATATAGGCCCGACTGGGCGGGACGATTTGCGGGGAAGAAATCTCTGGAAAGTCACGCTGACGATGCTTCTCCCACGTTGTTGACGTCCCTCGCTGCTTTCCTACCCCATATGACCCCATATTTTCGCTAACCCCGGCTTGTTTCCCCAACCTGGGCCCTTCACCGTGGGAATGTTGAGCCGAGGAAGGACGCTGCAGTTACCGACTCTATGGACTGACGAGCACTGATACCCGACATTGTGCCGGCCCCCCGCTCCGGACGGGCGAGTACAAAAGTGGCCTACTCGTCGCGCCCCGGGAGGGGGAAGCCGAGTCCCTGAAGCGTCAGCCACTAGGCAAACAGCTAGACACGATGGCCCGACTCAGTCTGTTGGCAGTCCTCTCGGCGGCCGCCGTCAGCCCGAGGCAGGACGCCGTCGCGGGCACGGCCGCCGTGGTCGGGAGGCGCTCTAGCGGCTACTCCGCCCCCACGGCGCACCTCAAGAACGGCAGCTACTACGGCGTCTACAACCCGACGTACCACCAGGACATGTTCCTGGGCATGCCCTACGCCGAGCCGCCGGTGGGTGACCTGCGCTTCCGGCCGCCGCAGCCGCTCGGCAGCGGCAGGAGCTGGGAGGGCCGGCGCAACGCGACCGAGTACTCGCCCCTGTGCTTCGGCTACGGCAGCGACACGTGGGTGCTGGGCAACCGCGTCTCCGAGGACTGCCTGACCATCAACGTGGTGCGCCCGCACGGCGTCAAGCCCGACGCCAAGCTCCCCGTCGCGCTCTGGATCCACGGCGGCAGCCTCACCAATGGCGGGAGCGCGGACCCGCGCTACAACATGTCCTTCATCGTCGAGCAGTCGGTCCGGATGGGCACGCCCATGATCGCCGCCAGCATCAACTACCGCCTGCACGCCTGGGGGTTCCTGTGGAGCGACGAGGTCAAGAGGGCGGGCGCGGGCAACCTCGGGTTCCGGGACCAGCGGCTCGCGCTGCAGTGGGTTCAAGAAAACATTGGCGCGTTCCGGGGCGACCCGGACAGGGTGACGCTGTGGAGCGAGAGCGCGGGCAGCCGCAGCGTGGCGGCACAGATGCTGGCCTACGACGGGCGCGACGACAAGCTGTACCGCGGCGCCATCCTGCAGAGCGGCACCGGGTTCGATACAGACTTTGGCGAGGCGCCGCCGCCGACCAGTGACGCCTGGCAAAACCACTACGACGCCGTGGCCGCAAAGGTCGGCTGCGCGGGGGCGGCCGACTCGCTGGCGTGCCTGCGCGCGGTGCCGGCGTGGACGCTCAGCGACGCCATCAACTCGACGGCGACCCCGTCCTTCACGACGGTGGTGGACGGCGAGTTCCTGACTGCGCGGCGGCACAAGCTGCTCGCGTCGGGCCGCTTCACACGTGTGCCGCTGCTCATCGGGGCCAACTTCGACGAGGGCACGGCGTTTGGCAAGTACGGCGTCGACACCGAGGACCAGTGGCACGCCTACCTGGCCGCCGCCGGCGCCGGCAACGTCACGGCCGAGGTCCTCTCGGCTCTGTACCCGGACGTGCCCCGCGTCGGCATCCCGGCCACGCTGCCCGGCAGGCCCGCGGCCGACGACCGGAAAAAGTACGGCGCCATGTGGAAGCGCGCGTCGGCCTTTGGCGGCGACCGCGCGCAGCACGGCCCGCGGCGGCTGTGGGCGCGCACGTGGGCGCGCGCGGGCCTCCCCGCGTGGAGCTACCACTTCAACGTGCTCGTCGGCGGCGTCTCGCCCGCGCTCGGCGCCACGCACTTCCAGGAGGTGGCCTTTGTGTTCAACAACACGCGCGGGCTGGGCTACGACACGGCCGTGGCCACGAACCCGTTCGCGGGCGCGCCGCCCACCTTTGGCGCCCTGGCGGACGTCATGTCGCGCATGTGGGTGGGCTTCGTCGTCGCGGGCGACCCCAACGCGCACCGAGGCGCCACGGGCGTCCGCTGGCCGCGGTACGACGATGAGCGGCCGGAGAATATGGTTTTCGACGTCAACGCGACGTCGCTCGCGTACGCGGAGCCTGACACGTACCGGACCGAGCAGATCGAGTATCTGATCAAGAAGCTGTGGTCGTGATGGTGGGGGGGGGGGNGGG